AAAAAGGATGGAATGTAAATTACCTGGGCTCCTGGCATGGGTGCGAAAGGATTAGTGGGTCTGAGAACAGGCTGGTTGTACATTATTGGCTGTGGAGCCATCACTGGTACCCCGCCCATCTGACCCATCTGGGGAGGAACCTGGAGAGAGGAGATAATCCAGGATGTAAAAGTTTTTTTCTTTTTAAAGTTACTTTTACACAGTTAAGATGGACAAAGACACTGAGGAAAATAACATAGAGCAAAGGTGAATGGGGGTAAATAAGCAAGATAAGGGGTATTGTTATCGGTTTCTTTTTGCTTCTGAGCATGCTCACCATTCCATACACAGGCACTTGCGGTGTGGTCATGGGAAAAGCCATTGGAGCCGGAGCCTGAAAGAGAGAGATGAAGAGAAATGACGGCCAGCTCAAAGTGTAGCAGCCTTTTTTCTCTCAAAACGGTATGTAGTAATTCAAGCATGGATAAAGGACATAAAAAAATAAAGAAATAAAACTGGGGTTGAGCCTCCCAGGGGAGGAACAGAGTGTGCAACCCAGCATGTGGCAAAGGTGCTCCGCAGCTCGCCGCTGTGAGCAGTCGTTACCACCTCTTAAAGAAAAAAAGGAGTGGTTCAATGGGATGGTGTTTGATTGTGCCCCGCATACTCCACAGATCAGCGCCACTACACTTAAAGGGGCTTCAAATTCAAATTGAAGGGCGATTTGCAGCAAACGCTCGCAGCCCGTCTGCATCGGCGCTTTATCCTGCTGATCCCCGCTCAAAAAAAAACACAGGCAATTTGTGCGAGTGGGTGTCTGGGTGGATGTCCCGGAAAGAATGCAGAGTACAAAGCAAAAGGCCAGCATCTGTGCGATACGCACACGTCGCCTCCGGTGCTTTTTCACGATTTGCAGAGATATGCGTCGGAGGTTTGGGGGCCATCCTTCTGCCCCCTCGGGGACAGCTGGCAAGCATTTGCTCTGGTCAGAGGGATGTGACTGATCTCCTGCAGGTCATTCTGCTCCCCCAGAAATCCCCCTTTTCAAAAAGCCATTAAAAGCAACGCGCCGAAACACTGTGCTGCCTTCACAGACCTCATCCATCACTGTAAATGAGACAACTGTGGCATTTTAACAAGACCTAAGAGAGCCTCAATCATTCCTACTTTGATAATACTTCCCCTTTTCTGTTGTGGTGGAATATTTTCGGCTGGATCCTGTTACAAAAGGAGCAGAGAAAGAAACTGAGGGGTTAGCTTCTCTGTAAAGCCAGTTGTTACCTGAGCAGTCGAACGTAAAATGAAGGATTACATTAATCACGGCAATGTGAAGGTGGGCTTAAGCCTTAATGGGCAGAAATAAAACCACCGGCATTATCCGTTAATTGCTGCTAACGTATAAACGCCTGAATCAATCTTTCCAACAGAGCGCGTGCTAAAGTATTCGAGCTCTATTCAAATGTTTCATTCCTTATCCAATAGCTTTAACAAATTGAATTTTTTTTAGCACATCAAGCAAAAAAAAAAAAGAAACGTTCTTATTCACGTGCATTTGTGCGCCCACACCACAGAGCACGGTTTTACATGCCTGCTAACACGAGAGGCAGGCGGGGAGGAGGAAAGATCAGAGGGGGGGGCGCATCAAAGAATTTGTGGTTGTAAATGCCTTTTCTAAGAAGAGGAAGGGTCCTCTTTGAGAGATGGTAATTATGCTTATGTTATGCAGGAGAACAAAACAAGAAAGTAGAATAACCATTAAGATATCTAGTACAGGTTGAGTATCTATCAGGGTTTTTCCCTTTTTCGCCTCATAACAGCTACAATCTTAGCAGCTACTCGGTCGGGATTGGGAGTGGGCTGCAGGCCTCTGATTAACCACGCGTGACTGGAGGAGTAGTGGAAGCGATATCGTGGCAACAACCGACAGGATTCGATTATTCCGGCCATCGTCAACGTTGCAAACGCCTTCTGAACGAACTAGACGAACTGTACCACGAGGTCCGTGATGCCTTTTGTTGTCGTCTGGTGACCCGTCCAGATGACATCACTGCTCATCCCCTCAGTTGTAATAGAAGTGGAAAAGTCCCATTAGCCGGGGTCAATAACGTAAGGCATGGAGCTCGGGTCAACGGGTTGGGCCTCCAGTTTGCTCCTCTATTGTCACCCATCTTCCAGTCAAACTGAAATTTCTCTCAATCTTTGAACTCACCAAAGAATATTGCTGAAATGCCAGCTGAAAACTAGCCAATTCTGTAAAGATTGTCTACCTGCTGTACAGCGCTTAAAGGCTGCAGACACATTGTTGTGTCCCTCCTACAGACCTCAGCTTCTACAGTCCAGCCTGGCAGGCCTTTGCTGGCTTAGATCTCGCCACGCATGTTCAGTAAAAACTCAGGTAAGCCACAAATGGAGACGACCCGCTGCTGGAATTAAATTCACCAGAGCTCAGCCGCAGGCGTCACCTCAGAGAGTCGGAATAATTAAGCAAATTAAATGTTTCAGTGTCTGACTATTTGTTTTTGCTACCTGGGGACTCGCTGGGTAAAACACAGGTACATTAAGATAAGACAAAATAGACCTTTACTCATCCCGGGGAGGGGTGGATTCTTAAACTACTGCAGCAAAAAAAAAGAAGATGAAATTAAGTGGTGTCTGAAACAATAACATAGGGAGAACTTTAAAAAGGGAAAAGTTTCAAAATTTGACGCAGCTGAAATTAAACTCATTCCGATTCAGCAGCTTTTTCAACCTTCCTCTTATTTTCTCTTTTCCACTTGCATAGCACTTATTAAACGAGCACTAGCAGCTCGATGGGATCGCTTTATTCTAATATCCACAATGTTGTGATGTTTAGAATCTTGCCGCATAGTTCACCGGCTCCGCTGAAAGGTTTGTGAGCGTCTATTTTGTCTTATCTTAATTTACCTGTGTTGTTAAGATCGAACCTGGGATTCTTAAAACCCTTATTTCACCTTTATACTTGCTTGAAAGGGACAGGATTTAGTGAAGTGAACTGGTCTCAAAGCTCAGCAGACTGGCGGTGTGACTGATCGGTATCTGTTTTCATTTTTCAACTCTGGAAAACAGGTAGTTGCTCATGAACGCTGATAAACAGAAATAAATAAAGGATGGAGAAAAAAAGAGCTCCGTTCAGCTAAAACACCTGAATTAGTCACATCTATTTATTGCCCGCTCAGTAAAACTAAGTGGCTCAGTGGTTTTTAGCATTTGAAGCATTACTTATAGATTAAATCGACTTCACTGTCAGGCACACCTTTAGCCCTCATTCCTTGGCAAACCGTTTGTCTGTATCGGTTCGCCTTCTGTAATCTTTCGCCCAAATAACAGAAGGCGTTTTCAATTCAATTTCAGGAAAGAAGAAAAAAAAAAATATATATATATATATATAAATATGGGAGAGAGAAAAAGAGAAGGTGAGATGTCGGCTGTGCACCAATAAAGATTCTTTTTGGCCTTTTGTGCCATCTGTCGATGTAATCTGTTGTCATTTCTCCATACCTTTGAATCTCTACCTTTTCACAGTTCCAAAAGTGTAAACGAGATGTGTTCATGGGCAAAGCTAACGTTTCACTCATCATATTCGAGGCACGTTTGCCGGCTGCGTGGCTCATCCGTCTTCCTGTGATGCGGATGGCAGTCTCCCTCTTTTCTCCCGATGTTTTTTTTACGTCTCAGGCCTATTTTTGCTTTGTTCCGTCTTTGTCGTGTTTAAATGCGCCGGCCTCCTTGCATGTGTAAATGTACATGGCAGGACACACCAGTTCTGATTCTGACCGTCCGATGAAGTAGATTCAAATAAATAAATAAATAAAAACGTGTTCATTTCCCAGAGCAGACGGCCGCTGCACGCGTGATTGCGCTGGATTAATCTCCACAGCCAATTTCTGTTCTTGCCTGCCCGCCGATAGAGCCGAGGCCCAATAACGTGTCTCCAGACGTCCTTGAAAGGGAGACGCAAACATTAAGCTTCTTTCTGATGAAGGATAAACGCTCCGTGACCTCCATAACTTTGTCGTGGCTCGAACTAATCTTTTTGCTCTTTTTAAAATAAGGTGCAACAGTGTGGATCATGGAGCGGTTTTCAGTTTTTGGGGCACAGAAGTGCTTCGTGGCACAGAGAGCCGAGATTTAACAGCTTGGATTCTATTTGCGGCACCAGTTTCTTTTGACTTTTTGTCTTTGTTCTAAACAGAAGTGTCTCATGTGGAGGCCTGAGGAGGAAGAGAGCCTCTGACTTTTAACCTCCTGGTGCCCCCGAGGTTGCTTGGTGCTTACACAACGAGTAATGAGAAAGTTATTTGTGGAAACTGTGCAAAAAAAAAAGAAAAAAGAAAAAAGATTTCCGTGAAGCATCAAGTGGGGACGCATGAGAAAAAAGAGGAAGTGACAGGGAGAAGATGAAGAGGATGATAAGCAGAGCGAGGAGCACAGAGCAGACATTTCTGAGCATCTCGTTAAGACTTGTCGTACTAAACAGAGATAAGTACTTACATAACTAGTATAGAACATTCCATTCTGCATCAGGACGCAACAGGAAAAAGAAAAGACAAAAGACAGAAAGAGACAGAGGAGGGGAGAGGACAAAAATAGACAGAGGCAGAAAGGAGCAGGAGAGGAAGATGAGAGAAAGGGGATAAGTAGGAGGTTAAAGTCACAATCAAGTAATTGAGGAAGGGATGATGAAAGCAGGAAGCAAAAAAAAAAAAAAAAA